TGAACCATCCTTGCATACCTGTTATGAATCCCACTTGGTCATGGTGGATTATTTTTTTTATGTATCGTTGGATTCTATTTGCCAGTATTTTATTTAGGATTTTTGCAGATAAGAAAATATTTTGACATAGTTTTAAGATGTGCTAGTGTGTGCTTTTCCTTCATCCTTTTTCTTAGGCATTATTTCGTAGTTGGTAACAATTTTTAAGTTAGATTTTTTGTTGTTAACTATTTTCCACAGATCTCCCCCACTCCCCGATTGTTATACCGTTTTTTAGATTTTCCTAGTAATAGTTGTGTATCAAATTTGTATTGTAAGGAAGAACTTAAAATATTTTTGTTAAAAAACTAGAAATGATTAAAAATATTTCATTTATAATTTTTATTAATCTATGTTTCCTTGTTTATGACCATAGACGTTCCTGAATATGTTTGTTGACAGCAATCAGGATGCTAGAAGAAGGTCTGTAAATGAAGATGATAATCCCCCTTCTCCTATAGGAGGAGATATGATGGATTCTTTAATATCGCAACTCCAGCCACCACCCCAGCAGCAGGTAATGCATACTTGACATTTCCTACAGTGTCACTTTTTTTTAACTAAGATTTTACAGGTGCCCAGCCTTCTTCATTGGAAGATTAAGAGGTCTTTGGTGAGCCCGTGATATCTGGAAAATCTGTGTGGAAAAAAGAATTAGTCATAGAGGGAGAAGAGAGCAGGCATTCAGTGATAACCTCAGAAGTCCAGTACACTTAAAAGGACATGGTGTGAATGGAAGCACCATCTGTAGTCTGAAGAGTCTGGGAGGCTGTTATCCCCATGTTTGAAAGACAGATGTCATTAAAGCACAGTGAACTAGCTATGTTCATTAGGGCCTACTACAGAGAACAGGTGGACAAATTTCAAAGTTACTGCCTTCATATCATTTGAATACGTCACATTATACAATCTTTTTTTTTTTTTAATTTTTATTTTATTTTTTTTTTTTTTTTACATTATACAATCTTAAAAGGGATTTTGAGTTCTTCCTCATCCCCTTCATGTGTTTGAGAATTAAATGAACTACCCGGCCATCCTCTGTTCTTTCATTGACCATCCTGAAATAGAGGATGACTCGTGACCCTCTTACCTCTTCTCCAGTCCTATATGACACCTATCCTGGAAAATAATCATGTAGCTGTGTAGAGGCTTTTGGCATCTGGGCTGGTGTCTTCAGTGGCTGTATATAAGTTGTGTGTAGACATACAGCTTACAGGTTTACGAGATAACTCCCAGCTTCTTTCTTGGAAGTTTTCATGAAATGATGTTGTTTGTGCTGAAAACTCACTTACTTTTACTTTCCCCCAATATTTTCACTGGCTAAACAGTTATGTTGAAGTCCTAACTACTACATACATGTGTGTTTATACATGTATGTTTATAAATTGGGATTTTCTTTATTTAGGGTAATGAATTCAAACTAGAATAATATGGTCCTAAATATAATCCTTTTAGAAATGATGTCTTTTTTTTTTTAAAAAAGAACAACAACCCATTTTTTTAATTAATATTTTTATCATTCATATACATTGTGCTTATGCATTTGCATTGTGTTTTGTACAATCTTTCATTTACATTGTAATTTATTTATATATATTAAGGGGGGGTTTTAGAAATGGGAAAACACGGGAGAAGTACTGTATAATGATAATGAGGGCAAGTGCATCCATAAGTAGGAAAAGAACAGCAAAGACTGCGACAGCTAGCACAAGCTAGGAGAGAGGTTCACATAAGGAATTAACATGGCTAAGACTCCAATTTGGACTTTTGGCTTCAGAACTGTGAGAAAATAAATTTCTGTTCTTTAAAGCCACTTACTTGTGGTATTTTTTCAAGGTACCCTTGGGAAACTGACACCTAGGTTTTGGTCTAGCTACTTAATAATGAAACTTTCCAATGAGCAGTTTAATGGTGCCTGCATCTTTGTTAAAACACTGGACTTTTACTCGAAGGCAGTTTGGCGAGATATATTGTAAAGAGCAGCTATTTATGAAGATACTGGGAAGTTCAGTAAAGCCTCATGAATGCCTCTATGAAAACTAAACATGGGACTTGTGATCCTGCAGCTGCCCTTCTCAGGATACTAAGCCACCACTCAGTCCAGCCTATGCACCAGCACATGCAAGAGCAGATCTTCTGTATGGAAGTCACCTTCTTGTATTGTAGATCTGATGTGGAGCAAAAAGTGTGATCCACATATTTTTTGGGAAAGAAGTGACTACTCAGAGTTCTGCAGTCAGGACTGACTACTGACCACAGACATAGGACAGAGAAGGGAGAATGTGATAAACTGTTCTCTGCTCCTTCCAAATAAGTCATTCATTGGCCCATCTGCAGTGACTCTCAGCAAGTAACTGTAACAATGAGCTTGAGCATATCAGAGCAGATGAGTATGGCACAGGATAGGACAAGGGTCAGATCTGTTGTATAGGGTCGCTATAATAAGTCGTAGTTACTCAATGACACCTTATAACAACTTGTTCTTATTACTAGAATTAGCATAGGCAGTGTCTAGAAGACTACCAAAGCCCACTGACCCTAAATTTTCTCCAAGTTTAGGGTGTACCATTTTTTTATGTAATAATAAGAAAGAAAGAAAGAGAAAAAAAAACATTGTCCTTTAAACATCTATGCCATTAGTTGAAAGATACACTCTGATTTCAGAAATATTAAAATATGTAAAATACATCTTTTGTTGTTGTTGTTGTTGTTGTTATGTGCCGTCGAGTCGCTTACGACTCATAGCGACCCTATGTACAACAGCCCTAAGCTCCGCTCTGTCCTGTGCCAATCGCACTGTCTCTGACACTCCCATCCCAATTATCCCAGTCACTGAATCAATCCACCTCATAGAGGGCCTTCCTCTCCTGCGCTGTCCCTCCACCCTCCCAAGCATGATGTCCCTCTCCAAGGACCGGTCTCTCCTCACAACATGTCCAAAGTAAGTTAGACGGAGCCTCAGAATCCTTGCCTCCAAGGAGCCACCCGGTTTAACCCTCTCCAGGACAAATCTGTTTGTTTTCCTAGCAGTCCATAGTATTCTCAATACTCTTCTCCAGCACCACAGCTCAAAGGCATCAATTCTCCTTCTATCCTCCTTGGTCATTGTCCAACTCTCTGATGCATAAAAAACAAGTGATTGTAAAGACCATGGCCTGTATCAGATGCACCTTAATCTCCAGAGAGACACCATTGCTCTTCAGTACTTTGGAGAGGTCCCTAACAGCAGACTTTCCCATGGAAATAAACCTTTTAATTTCCTGGCTGCCTGGTGCCAAGACTGTTGACTGTGGAGCCAAGCAAACTAAAGCTGTGTACAATCTAGACTCTTGAAATATGTAAGAAAAAATATTTTGAAGGGATATAAAAATGCTGTTGCAAAGTCATAAATGAGGATGTGAGTCTTTTGAAAATATTTTGGACATTTTTGAAGACTTGTATTATTGATGTGTGTTTTGCACGCTTTTGTGCCCTGTCATTGCTGTTTGACAGCCAATGAAATGCACTCTGGTGACATGCATAGTCCATAAGCAGTCACGCTGCTAACCTAAAGGCAGCTGGTTCAAATCCACCAGCAGCTCTGTGGGAAAAAAGATGGACATTCTCCTCTGATGCAATTTACAGTATATGAAAATATACTGGTGGAGGGTCAGCTCTGAGTCATCTCTCTGACATGACAGCAGTGAGTGAGTGAGAACTGTGTAGCTAACACTGTAGCTGTAATTGAGAGAAGCCATGCTGTCATACTATATTATATGTATTTGGCTATCTTACTAGCATTTAATTTTTTATTTATTTATTTTTTTAACTTGCAGCCATTTCCCAAGCAACCAGGATCATCAAGCGCTTATCCTCTTACTTCACCTCCTACATCTTATCATAACACAGTCAATCAGTCTCCCTCGATGATGCACACACAGTCCCCAGGTAAGCTATTATGTAACTCTAAAGAATCTGTTACTTTTTTGGTCTGTCTCTGTTTGCCATATATCCACTTTGACTTTGTGAAAAGCCGTATTGATGGGCTGGGAACACTTATTGAAAATGTAAATTAAATGGAAGTGTTGACCCTTGTGGGCCAACCTCATGACATAATTTCAGGGAGTGCTAGTCATATGCTTATGTCACAGGTCAGCAACATACAGCCTATGGGCCAAATCCCACCCGTTGCCTGTTTTTGTAAATAAAATTTTGCTTGAACACCACCAGATGTGGTCTCTTACAGACCATGGACCCAGCACACGTGACTAGTGCCATCTGGAGTCGGGCAGTATGTAGCCAGCTTATCTAGACAAAATGACTCTGTTGACAACTCCATTAAGTGTACTGTAAGATTGCTAAAGGATGCAAATTTTTTACTTTTAACTGAACAATTGAAGTGAATTTCTTGAGTACTTGGTTTTGGTGCCAGGGACACTGAGTCAGATACCAGCACTGCAAGTCTTCTTTGCAACAAAGATGGGGATAAAATTCCCACATACAGGGAGCTCTGGTGGCCTAGTGGCAAGAAGCTGCTCTGCAATCCCATAGGCACAGGCTTCAAATCCACCAGATGCTCTGCTGGAGAAGGAGGGACAATTTCCTCCTGTGCCAGTCAAATCTGATTTGACGGTACACGCACCCAAAATAATAAAATTTAAAAATAATTTTAAAAAAAATTCCCATATATGTGCCAGGTCATATTCCTATATCTGTTTAACATTGATATTTCCAAAGCATGATGTTTTAAATTAAAAAAAGTTATAGCACTTTCTAAAGTTTGAAATTTTGGGGTATATATGTATACATGAAATTTGTGTTGATAGTAGAGCTTCATTTATAAAATGAGAATAATATACCTTTTGCTTAAAGGTATGAACATTTATGATAATCCACATGATAAAGGGATTTGATAAACTCATAATCTGTGTGGCCTGAATTGGGCTTCTCTGCAGCCATCATTTCGCTCATCCTCTTATACAGGCAGATCCCACTCTTACCCCAGTCTTAGCTAGAACCACTCAGGTCACTGTTCTAATGACTATAGTACTGTTATTGCGGTTGTGTGCTATGGAGTCAGAACCAACCCATAACTAAACCTCCAACAGGTTTTCAGAAGCAGTAAATCACAAAAGAGGAGCTTTGACCTGTATACCTTTGGAGTTGCAGCACAGCTTATTACTAGACTAAGTATAGCTGTAGTTGTATACGTTCCTCTGTTAAAGAAAAAGGTTCATAAATCTCTAGATTTCTTTCTTTGGGAAGTGGGATAAGAAGGGCATCCTCTGTTTATTATACTCACAGTGTTGCATAGTTTTGGAAGTAGTCTTTATCTGAAATACCAAGTGTGGTATTATAAAAGAAACCACTCAGGAGCAATCAGCAAGGGGTTTCTTGCCTGGAGAAGCCTTTCTTGCTGCCTATCTCATCATCATCTTTCCACTGCATCCCAACACACACACTGTTAAGCTTAGACTTAAAAAGTAAGTCAGGGTTAGGGACTCAGGGGCTTGTGCAGGTTGTGTGAAGCCTAAGGTCCCAGAGGACTGTGGACAGACGGTCCCTAGTAGCATGAAGAGCCAATAGTGAAAGGAAGATGGTTCTGTCAGAAATTTTGGGCTTTATTGTCTAAATAATGGGAATCTTTCATACTTTGGACATGGAGCTAGGCGAGGCTATTCCTTGGAAAGGGACATTGTGCTTGAAAAGATGTGGGTCAGTGAAGGAGAGGAAGACCCGCATAAGAAGGATTAACTTCAGTAGTGGTCTAAAGTGTGTCACAGATTGTGAGGATGTCTCTCCTGGGAGACTGATAAGTTGGCTATATTGAGGTCATCAGATATAGTTGGACCACAGATGAAGGAAGACTTGGAAGTCATCAGGATATCTAGGAGCACTGAAGTTTTGGGGGAGTCCACTCCCTGAGAAGCGCCACCAGTTAACTGATGCAGAGCCTGAGAGGGAGCAGCTAGGGAGCAGGAGTCCTAGAAGATAAGGGAAAGATGTTTTTATAATAGGAAGTAGTTTTTAAAAAACTAATGATTGCAGCAGATAAGTATATGGTACTATGTAGCAATCCTGTTGCAAGCACTTTATCCATTTAATCCTGAGAGCAAACTTGCGATGTGGATCATCTCCATTTTATAGAGAAGAACTGGGGCATGGAGAAGTTAAGCCACTTGCCCAGGTCACACAGGGAACACACTTAAAGGGTAGTTGAGTTGATTAGCATATTTAATGAATGTCAAGCACTGTAGATAATGAATGTAAAGTAGTGTTGTTGTTGTGTACCATCAAGTGGGAACCAACCCATAGCTGACCCTCCGGTGGGTTCTCAGAGACAATAAATCACACAGGAGGAGATTGTCCATCTTTCTCCTCCATTATTGAATGTAAAATATTGTTGTTGATTATCTTTGAGTTGAGCACAACTCATAGTGACCCTATGAACAAAAGGCCTGAAGCCCCTCTACAACTATTAAAATTTATCAAAGTTCATAGAGTTTCCAGAAGCATGTTATTTAGGAAGTGGATGACACTCCTGCACAAAAATATGAATTACACAGTAGTAGAGAATTTTAATCTGGTATTAATGATAGTTGTGATAATATATAATGCACCAAGTTTTTGTGTTGTTTTACTCACTGTTTTGGTAGTCACAGTTTCCCCTTTCATAATCGTAAATAAAAATTAGTCCTTTGTGTTTAAATACTACTTTTAAGTACATAGCTCTAAGTTTTATATCTCTAATGTAGTCACCCCCACCCCCACCCTCCTGAACTCTTGTTCTATATTTCCACTTATGCATCAACATGGCTAAAACAAACTACTGATTCTCCATCCCCCATGCTGCTCCTCCTACAGATACAGGTGAGCCTCAGGAAATGGTAAACCTTTCCTTCCTGCCACTGAGACCAAAGCAGTTAGAGTCATCCTGGACTCTTGCTTTCTTTCACATTCCAAAGTTCCAAATACTTTTGGTTCCATCCTTAGAATGTCTCTAGAAACCAGCCACTTTTTACCACTGAACCTTTGTCACTCTTGCTTAGGCCACCAATCATCTATCACCTAGATACTACAGTTGCCTCTTACCTACTCTCACTGTTCCTGCTCCTGTCTGTGCTCTGTAGTGTTTCACATAGGAGCTAGAGTACCCCTCTTGAGACACTAGTTCATAACTCATTGATTCAGACCACACAGACTTTCCGTCTTGTTCAGAGTAAATCCTAAATCCTCAGAGTAGCCTCCAAATCCCGTGTGATCTGGGCTCCTCCAGTTTCATTAGCTTCGTCTCCTTCCATTCTGTCCATTTCACTGTCTGTTCCACTCACTATGGTTTTCTCCATTATTTATGCTGTCTTGTACCTTTGTTCACCTGGATTATCCTATGCCCTGCATGTATTGTCATCTCTTATCCCTCATTTTTTTTCATGCTTTAGCTCAGATGTTCCTTTCTTAAAGAAGTCTTCTCTGATTTTTTTAATATATATATATATACTGTACCTACTTACCGAGTGAGTGAGTGAATGAGTAAAAGTATACTGTGTTGGGGGGAGATATTAACTCAATTTAAGATCCAGAATTGGGGCCCATGGAATTGATTTTTTTAAAAAAAACAATGAAATCTTTCTAGTTTTTCTTTACATTATTTATATGAGCTTTATTTCTTGTTTCTTTTATCTATGGAGAGATTTTTAGCTTGGAGTCCTTGGACAGGACATAATATGTGTCCTGCAAGATCATATATAATTGTTTTCCTTCATTAGGAAATCTGCATGCTGCCAACTCCCCCAGTGGGGCTTTGAGAGCCCCATCACCAGCGTCATTTGTTCCAACTCCTCCCCCATCCTCGCATGGAATCTCAATAGGACCAGGGGCCAGTTTTGCTAGTCCACATGGTGAGTCCTTACCTGGAAATACGTGCAGTAGCATAAGAGCTTGACATGAAAATAGTTTTTCTTAAAATATTTTCCTACTGAAAAATTAGCACATTTATGGGAGAAATAGCTAAGATATTGCTTAAAAAAAACCCCTCTTTTCTAAACAACCTCTTTTCTAATCCCAGTTAGGCAGAAATAACCACCAGTTAGCTTGTCACTGCTTTGGAATTTTTTCTCTCTGTGTGTTTCTGTTTGTCAGTTCCTCTCTTCTTGCTTTCTTTCTCTGTCTTGCTTCCTGTCATGCTCTGCTTGCCTGCCTGCTCATATCTTTGTTCCTATCACTTGCTCTCTATCCGTATGCGTGTCTCTCCCCTCCCCAAATTCCTACCCCTTTAAAAATGTGGGAATTAACTTTTTAATGAAAAAAATCTATTATAAATTGGATCAAATAAATGAAAAACTCAAGAGGCAGTCAGTCAAAAGTCCTTTCTACTCCACCAACAGCCTATTTCCTCTTCCCAGAGACATTTAATATTATTAATTTCTTATGTATTCTTGCAGAGATGTTTTATGCATACATAAGCAAGTTCATGTAAGTGCCCTCCCCCACTTCCTGTTTTATACACATGGTAGCACACCATGCCTTTTTTTACTTATGAATATTTACTGTGAATATCATGCCATATTTACTGTGTATATCATGCCATATTAGAACATAAAGAACTTCCTAAATTTTTGGAACTGTATACTGTCTGTAATTTTAATTTTTAATATTGCCTGGTCATTTTTGTAAGTAAAAGCCTCCACATTGTCATTTTGTTCTATTCCTTGTCTGGGTATATAATAATTTAACTGCTCTCCCAGTATACGTTAAAGCATTTCCTTTTTTTCAAAATTAAAAATGGTGCCATCCCTGCTCACATCCATGATTATTTCCTTAGTTCCTAGAAGTGGAATTAGTGAGTCTCAGAAGTTTTGAAAAATTCTAAAGCTTTCGAAACATTGCAAATTGCTCACCTGAAAGACTGTACCAATTTCCTCTAGCATCATACAAGAATGTTTGTTTTCCTGCATCATTGCCAACATGGGGTATTATAATTTTTAGAAGTCTTGGCCATTTTAATAGGTAGAAAAATTATAATCTTATTTGTGTATTTTTTTATTAATAGTGAAATTGAACCTTTTTGTCATTCTTCATTAGTCTTTGGTAGTTCTTATTTTGTGTATACTAGTTTATATCTTTTGCCTGTGTTCTCATTGTGGTAGTCTTCATTTTCTTATGATGTATATGAAATTTTTATACAAAAGTAAGGTTATTTACATGCTGATACATGATAGATATATTTTCTCAGTTTATCATTTGGCTATAAAGGGATATGAATATGTTGAAGATCCTTGCAGGATAAAATTTAAATATCAAATTGTTTGGAAAGTTGCTGTTTTCAAAACTTGATTCTTGGTTCACAGTCCCATGTAGCTTTTACTAAATAAAGAAAATGAAAATTTTCCTTCTCCTCAGCCTTCTTTGGTAGAATAAAATCATGATTTGTGAGAGTTAGAGGAAATTTAAAGATTACTCCCCTTAAGGGAGCTTTGACATTTCTTGCATAGTATTTTCCATCATATAGTTGGTTTCACATAGTATAATGTAGATTGCTACATATTCTATATGTTGAAGGCTTATATGAAGGTAAATTTAGCCTCCCTGAGGCTTTTTATTTTTCAAATTCTTTTTGCATGTTAAGAATTTTAAACTGCCCAAAATAGAGATTCAGTTATGACATGTTACAAAGCATTGTGCTTCGGTGATATACCATCGTATTTTTCTTTAAAAAAGAAAACTACAGACCACCAATTACTCATATGCAAGTTCAAGCTGAAGCTGAGGAAAATTAAACCAAATCCACAGGAGCCAAAATATGACTTTGATTTCATACCACCTGAATTTCAGAATCATCTTAGGAACAGGTTTGAGGCCTTGAACACTAATGAGCGAAGACCAGATGAGTTGTGCGAGGATGTCAAAGATATCATTCAGGAAGAGTGTAAACGGTCATTACAAAGACAGAAGAGGAAGAAAAGACCAAAATGGATGTCAGAAGAAATTCTGAAGATTGCACTGGAGCGTAGAGAAGCCAAAGCACAAGGAGGAATTCAAGATACTAAAGAGCTGAACAGAAGATTCCAAAAGGCTGCTCGGAATGACAAAGCAGAATACTACAATGAAATGTGCTAGGAGCTAGAGTCAGAATATCAAAAGGGCCAAACTCGCTCAGCATTTCTTAAGCTCAAGGAACTGAAGAACAGATTCAAACCTAGAGTTGCTGTAATCAAGGATGCTTTGGGCAGAATATTAAATGATCCAGGGAGTATTAAAAGAAGATGGAAGGAATATACTGAGTCATTATATAGAAAGGAATTGGCAGATACAGAGGAATTTAAAGAAATAGCATATGAGCAATAGCCTATGGTGATAAAGGAAGAAGTTCAAGCTGCTTTGAAGGAAATAGCAAAAAATAAGGCCCCAGGAATAGATGGTATACCAATTGAAGTATTTCAGATAACAGATGTTGCCCTGGATGTGCTCACCAAGTTGTGCCAAGAAATCTGGAGAACAACCACTTGGCCAACTGACTGGAAGAGAGCTATATTTGTTCCCATTCCAAAGAAAGGTGACCCAACTGAGTGTGGAAACTACAGAACAGTGTCATTGATTTCACATGCAAGCAAGATTCTGCTGAAGATCATCCAAAAACGATTAGAACAGCACATCAGCAGAGAACTGCCGGAAGTCCAGGCTGGGTTTAGAAGGGTCGTGGTACTAGGGATATTGTTGCTGATGTTAGATGGATCTTGGCTGAAAGCAGAGAATACCAGAAGAATGTCTATCTGTGTTTCATTGACTATGCAAAGGCATTTGACTGTGTGGATCATAACAAACTGTGGCTGACTCTGAGAAGAATGGGAATCCCAGAACATTTAATTGTGCTAATACGAAACCTATACTTGGACCAAGAGGCAGTAGTCAGAACAGAGCAAGGTAACATTGCATGGTTCAAAATTGGGAAGGATGTACGCCAGGGATGCATCCTGTCTCCATACCTTTTCAACATGTATGCAGAGCAGATTATCCGAGAGGCTGGGCTCTGTGAGGAGAATTGTGGCATCAGGATTGGTGGAAGATCTATTAACAATCTGCGTTATGCAGATGACACAACCCTGCTTGCTGAAACTGAGGAGGACCTCATGCACTTGCTGCGAAGGGTCACGACTGCAGCCTTCAGTATGGACTGAGGCTCAATGTCAAGAAGACAAAGATTCTCACCACTGGACCAATTGGCAGCATCAAGATGGATGACGAAGAGATTGAGAGTGTTCACAGCTTCAGTTTGCTCAGCTCCACAGTCAACACTCTTGGCACCAGCAGTCAGGAAATCAAAAAGCATATCGCGATGGGAAAGTCTGCTGTTAGGGACCTCTCTAAGGTACTCAGGAGCAACAGTGTCTCTCTGGAGACTAAGGTGCGCCTGCTACAGGCCATGGTATTTGCAATCGCTTGTTATGCATCAGAGAGTTGGACAATGACTAGGGAGGACAGAAGGAGAGTGGATGCTTTTGAGCTGTGGTGCTGGAGAAGGGTACTGAATGTACCGTGGAGTGCCAGGAAAACAAACAGATTCATCTTGGAGAGGATTAAACCAAGCTACTCCTTGGAGGCAAGGATTCTGGGGCTTCGTCTGACATACTTTGGACATGTTGCCAGGAGGGATGGGTCCTTGGAGAGGGACATCATGCTTGGGAGGGTGGAGGGACAGCGCAGGAGGGGAAGACCCTCTATGAGATGGATTGATTCGGTGACTGGGGTAATCGGGATGGGTGTGTCAGAGGCGGTGCGGTTGGCGCAGGATAGAGCAGGGTTTAGGGCTGTTGTGCATAGGGTCGCTATGAGTCGGAAACGACTCGACAGCACATAACAACAACAACAACATCATCATGTAAGGATTTCATTGCTTTCAGCTATTTTTAGTTAATAAAATACAGGCTTTAAAAAACATTTGTTTACATTTTTACAGGAACTCTTGACCCTAGTTCTCCATACACTATGGTCTCACCAAGTGGACGAGCAGGGAACTGGCCAGGATCTCCTCAAGTGTCTGGCCCCTCACCAGCAACACGTATGCCTGGAATGTCACCAGCTAACCCATCGCTCCATTCACCAGTTCCAGATGCTTCTCATTCCCCTCGAGCTGGAACAAGTGAGTGTCAACATTTTTGTGTTTGATTTTAGTATTACCAACAAATGGCCTATTTTGTTTCATCCCATATTTGAAAAGTCATGACTTGGTTTTTGAACGAGATGCTTAATAAAATGAACATGTCCAGTTAATGAATCAATTTACAATGGTCAGTTTGCTAAGTCAAGCCAACATAAGAAAGGAGACTGTGTCTTCCAAAACTCTTTATGAGTGAGTCTGTCGTGATTGCTCATGCTGAGCTGTAACCTCAGACCTGGAAAGATACTTCAACTGACAAGCTAATGCACATACACACAAGAAGAAAAGATGTGGACTAATAAATTAGTTGATGTCATGGATTGAATTGTGTCCCCAAGCAATAAATGTCAATTTGATCAGGCCAGAAATCTTAGTAATTATTCGATATAATTATCCTATCTGTGTGCTGTAAATCATAATCTCCATGTTAATGAGGCCAAATTAGAGGTAGTTATATAATAATGTAATCAACTTCACAGTATGGTCCAAAGTGATCAGCCAATCAGTTATAAGCGGATTGGCATGTGACCTTTAATCAGGTCACAATCCTGGTTGGATTTAAAGGGGCTGTTTCCCTGGTGTATATGGCCTGCTTCATCTTTTCTGAGAAACAGGAGAGGGAAGACAGGACCTCTCTACCACTAGTAAAGGAGACCTAGTGCCCTTTGGACCTAGGTTTCTGTGTTGGGAAATTCTTAGAACCAGGAGATATGGAGAAAGCCATCCCCTAGAACTGGCACCCTGAATATGGATTTCTGACCTTCTAAATTATGATAGAATAAATGTATTAAACCTCCACTGTCATACCTCTGTTAGAGATTGCAGTTGATAGATTGTCATTTCTAGTTGATACACTGTTACTTTCATTGATTCTCTTGGACAAAGCAAGTTGCAAAGCCAACTCCTAAGTGGCTCTGCTCTTTGAAGGGGTTACTACAAAATCACCTTGCAAGGGACTTGAATACAAAGAAGAAAAGAATTGTGAGCCATTTTTTCTTTCCTAAAGGTTTGACCAAAAGAGTAAAACACTACAGATTGAACTCTCAAAGATTATTAATAATAGTAAAAATAGTGAATAATAATAGTTTAAAATGCTCCCAAGCCAAAGGTCGTGTAACCCTGGTATGCCTGATTAAAACAAGCTTGGAAGCAGGAGTGGCATCCACTTCCATTTTAGCTTGCCTCTGGAAACCCTGTGAACCTGGAGAAAGAACGAAAGTTATATAGGTGTCCAGGACTTTCATTAATGGGGTCGCTATGAGTCACCTACGACTCAAAAGCACTTAACAACAACAAAAGTAGGTAACAGTGGGACACTTTATTTGTAAATGAAATTAGCATATTTTCTTTCCCAAAAGGTTCCCAAACAATGCCGACAAACATGCCTCCACCTCGTAAACTACCTCAGCGCTCTTGGGCAGCATCCATCCCCACCATCCTCACTCACAGTGCCTTGAACATTTTACTGCTGCCCTCACCAACGCCAGGCCTTGTTCCTGGCCTGGCAGGTAGTTACCTTTGTTCCCCACTTGAGAGATTCCTTGGATCAGTCATCATGAGGCGACATCTTCAAAGAATTATTCAGCAAGAAACGGTATGTCTACTAAGTTTGTTAAAATTATACTTTTACCCTTTATTAGTGTTAAAATTGGGTTCCATGAGTTTCTTTTCCATTCTTACATTAATATGTTTGTATGATTTATAGTTTGCTGTGCTGTAGCTTCCATGTTATGTGGCTAACATGAACATAAAGATAAGTCACAGTGATAGCACAGAACAAGTACAGGCAGGGTCTGGGCTTGCATATGAGTAACTGCCCTCTGGATGCTTTGAAGGCAGGCTGATTGAGGCACAAGTTCTTGAGTCAGGCTGCCTGGACTTGTAGCCAGGCTGTAACACCTGCTAGTACCAGCTTGGGCAGATTTCTTCACCTTTCTGATGAGAGTAGATAATAGTATCTACCTAACAGGTATCGTCTCACACACTTTGGGCATGTTATCAGGAAGGGTCAGTCCTTGGAGAAAGACAGCATGTTTGGAAAAGTGGAATGTTAGTGAAGGAGAAAACCTTCAACAAGACAGATTGACAGTGTCTGCAGCACTGGGTTGAAGCACTGCAGAGATTGTGATGATAGTGTACAATCAGGCAGGCTCTCCTCCAGTACCTGGGGTCACTAAGAGTTGGAGTCGACTCAGTGGTACCTAACAGCAGCAACAGCTGATACCATTGCGGGAATTTGAAATATTTTCATGTAAATCCCTTAGCATAATGCCATGACACCTACTACTTAATTATTATTGTGTGTGTGTTAATAATGCAGTCATAATAGTAAATACCTGAAGTTTGAAAATATGTTGAATAGATTTGCATATAAAAGAGTAATCAGCAGACCTTGGATTAATGTGTCCTCATTGCTACCCCTTATGAGTCATATAAGCTCTCAGGTCTTTGAACCTCATTTTGCTTATCTATATAGTTAACATAGTATCTTCAAACAGGAAGGAGTCCCTGTACTATGATCCTGAAGTCAAATCCTGCCTGCAACCTGTTTTTGTAAAGTTTTTTTTTTCTATAATTATATTTTATTAATTTTCATAAACATCTACAGAGATTTTGGGCTTCCACTCATTCATTGTTGCACTATTCT